AGTACCTATAACACCTGTACCTCAGTGTCTATAATAACACCTGTACTACTCTAGTACCTATAACACCTGTACCTCAGTGTCTATAATAACACCTGTACCTCAGTACCCTCTTTCCTGTACCTCCAGTGTCTATAATAACACCTGTACCTCAGTACCACTAATAACACCTTACCTCAGTGCCTATAATAACACCTGTGCCTCAGTGCCTATAATAACACCTGTATATCAGTGCCTATAATAACACCTGTGTACCTCCAGTGCCTATACCTGTACCTCAGTGCCTATAATAACACCTGTACCTCAGTGCCTATAATAACACCACATACCTCAGTGCCTAATAACACCCACCTGTACCTCAGAGTGCCTATAATAACACCTGTACCTCAGTGCCTATAATAACACCTGTACCTCAGTGTCTATAATAACACCTGTACTTTACTACCTATAATAACACACCTGTACTCAGTACCTATAATAACACCTGTACCTCCAGTGTCTATAATAACACCTGTACCTCAGTGCCTATAACACCTGCCAGCCACCTCAGTGCCTATAATAACACCTGTACCTCAGTGCCTATAATAACACCTGTACCTCCAGTGCCTATAATAACACCTGTACCTCCAGTGCCTACACTGTATCTCAGTGCCTATAACTAACACCTGTACCTCCAGTGCCTATAATAACACCTGTACCTCCCAGTGCCTATAACACCTGTACCTCAGTGCCTGTAACACCTGTACCTCAGTGCCTATAATAACACCTGTGCCTCAGTGCCTATAACCACCTGTACCTCTGAGTGCCTATAACACCTGTACCTCGAGTGCCTACTATGCTACCTGTACCTCAAGTGCCTATAACACATGTGCCTCAGTGCCTATAATAACACCTGTGCTTCAGTGCCTATAATAACTACCTGTACCTCAGTGTCTATAATAACACCTGTACCTCCAGTACACTATAATAACACCTGTACCTCCAGTGTCTATAACACCTGTACCTCAGTACCTATAATAACACCTGTACAGTGTCTATAACACCTGTACCTCAGTACCTATAATAACACCTGTACCTCAGTGTCTATAATAACACCTGTACCTCAGTACCTATAATAACACCTGTACCTCAGTGCCTATAATAACACCTGTCCTCCAGTGCCTATAATAACACCTGTATATCCAGTGCCTATAATAACACCTGTGCCTCAGTGCCTATAATAACACCTGTACCTCAGTGCCTATAATAACACCTGTGCCTCAGTGCCTATAATAACACCTGCTCAGTGCCTATAATAACACCTGTTGCCTCAGTGCCTATAATAACACCTGTTACCTCAGTGCCCTATAATAACACCTGTACCTCAGTGTCTATAATAACACCTGTACTTACTACCTATAATAACACAGCCCTCAATTACTATAATAACACCTGTACCTCCAGTGTCTATAATAACACCTCAGTGCCTATAATAACACCTGTACCTCCAGTGCCTATAATAACACCCACCAACCACCTCAGTGCCTATAATAACACCTGTACCTCCATTGCCTATAATAACACCTGTACCTCAGTGCCTATAATAACACCTGTCTCTCCAGTACTATAATAACACACCTGTACCTCAGTGCCTATAATAACACCTGTGCCTCAGTGCCTATAATAACACCTGTACCTCAGTGCCTATAATAACACCTGTACCTCAGTGCCTATAATAACACCTGTGCACCTCCAGTACCTATAATAACACCTGTACTCAAGTGCCTATAATAACACCACCTGTACCTCAGCAGTGCCTATAATAACACCTGTGCAGGCACCTATAATAACATGTGCCTCCAGTGCCTATAATAGCACCTGTGCTTCAGTGCCTATAACCAACACCTGTGCCTCAGTGCCTATAATCACCTATAATAACACCTGTGCCTCATTGCCTATAATAACACTTGTACCTCAGTGCCTATAATAACACCTGTACCTCATGCCTATAATAACACACCTGTACCTCAAGTGCCTATAATAACACCTGTACCTCCAGTGCCTATAATAAAACCTGTACCTCAGTACCTATAACACCTGTACCTCCAGTGCCTATAATAACACCTGTACCTCAGTGCCTATAATAACACCTGTACCTCAGTGCCTATAATCACCTATAATAACACCTGTACCTCAATTGCCTATAATAACACCTGTACCTCATTACCTATAATAGCTTACCCTGTACCTCAGTGCCTATAATAACACCTGTACCTCGTGCCTATAAGCCAACACCTGTACCTCAGTACCTATAATAACACCTGTACTCAGTGCCTATAATAACACCTGTACCTCAGTGCCTATAATAACACCTGTACCTCAGTGCCTATAATACACCTGTGCCTCAGTGCCTATAACACCTGTACCTCAGTGCCTATAATCACCTATAATAACACCTGTACACTCAATTTTCATCATCTTTATGCCTCAGTGCCTATAATACACCTGTACCTCCAGATACCTATAATAACACCCACCAGCCCCTCAGTGCCTATAATAACACCTGTACCTCAGTGCCTATAATAACACCTGTACCTCAGTGCTATAATAACACCACCAGCACCTCAGTGCCTATAATAACACACCCTGTACCTCAGTGCCTATAATAACACCTGTGCCTCCAGTGCCTATAATAACACCTGTACCTCAGTACCCTATAATAACACCTGTACCTCAGTGCCTATAATAACACCTGTTACCTCAGTACCTATAATAACACCTGTACCTCAGTGCCTATAATAACACCTGCTTATTGCCTATAATAACTTTACCTGTACCTCCAGTGCCTATATTAACACCTGTGCCTCAGTACCTATATCTTACCTGTGTACCTCAGTGCCTATAATAACACCTGTACCTCAGTGCCTATAATAACACACCTGTACCAGTGCCTATAATAACACCTGTACCTCAGTGCCTGTAATAATAACACCCACCAGCTGCCTCAGTACCCTATAATAACACCCACCAGCATACCCCTCCAGTGCACATAACACCTGTACCTCAGTACCTATAATAACACCTGTACCTCAGTACCTATAATAACACCTGTACCTCAGTGCCTATAATAACACCTGTACCTCAGTGCCTATAATAACACCTGTACCTCAGTGTCTATAATAACACCTGTACCTCAGTGCCTATAATAACACCTGTACCTCAGTGCCTATAATAACACCTGTACCTCAGTGCCTATAATAACACCTGTACCTCAGTGCCTATAATAACACCTGTACCTCAGTGCCTATAATAACACCTGTACCTCAGTGCCTATAATAACACCTGTACCTCAGTGCCTATAATAACACCTGTACCTCAGTGCCTATAATAACACCTGTACCTCAGTGCCTATAATAACACCTGTACCTCAGTGCCTATAATAACACCTGTACCTCAGTGCCTATAATAACACCTGTACCTCAGTGCCTATAATAACACCTGTACCTCAGTGCCTATAATAACACCTGTACCTCAGTGCCTATAATAACACCTGTACCTCAGTGCCTATAATAACACCTGTACCTCAGTGCCTATAATAACACCTGTACCTCAGTGCCTATAATAACACCTGTACCTCAGTGCCTATAATAACACCTGTACCTCAGTGCCTATAATAACACCTGTACCTCATTGCCTATAATAACACCTGTACCTCATTGCCTATATAACACCTGTACCTCAGTGCCTATACACCTGTACCTCAGTGCCTATAATAACACCTGTACCTCAGTGCCTATAATAACACCTGTACCTCAGTGCCTATAATAACACCTGTACCTCAGTGCCTATAATAACACCTGTACCTCAGTGCCTATAATAACACCTGTACCTCAGTGCCTATAATAACACCTGTACCTCAGTGCCTATAATAGGGACGATAGACATACTGTAGGACCCTGAAGAAAAAAATAAAATCAATTATATTAAAGAAATTATTAAAATAATTCTGTACCTCCCCCCCCTTATCCTCACACCTCACACCACACCTCACCTCATACCTCATACCTCACACCTCACACCACACCTCACATCACACCCTCACACCTCACCTTACCTCATACCTCACACCTCACACCACACCTCACATCATACCTCATACCTCATACCTCATACCTCACCTCATACCTCATACCTCACACCTCACCTCATACCTCACACCTCATACCTCACCTCACACCTCATACCTCACCTCACACCTCATACCTCACCTTTATCCTCTCCACATAACATAAGAACATAAGACTGGAGGAAACTGCAGCGGGCCATACTGGACAGTCCCGTTTACACCCAACCCCTATCACTCATATATCCACCCAACCTGTGTTTGAAGCTGTCCAGCGTATTAGAGTTAATGATGATGTTTGGTAACTTGTTCCACTCATCCACTACTCTATTTCCAAACCAATGTTTACCTATCTCGCGCCTAAATCTAAATTTGTCTAATTTAAAATCATTGTTACGAGTTCGCTCCTGGTTGGATAGTTTGAGTACCTTTGTTATATCATTTTTGTTTAGCCCTGACTTCCATTTATACACCTCTATCAGGTCGCCCCTCACTCTACGTCTCTCGAGGGAGTACAAATTAAGGTGCTTTAACCTGTCTCTGTACTCAAGGTTCCTAATGCCCGGGATTATTCTTGTCATTCTCCTCTGGATTCTTTCCAAGGATTCTATATCCATTCTGTAATACGGTGACCAGAACTGAACTGAGTAATCCAAGTGAGGTCTAACAAGCACAAGATATAGATTAGGATGACCTCTCTAGTCTTGTAACTACCACTCCTCTGTATGAACCCAAGGACCTTGTTAAAGAACCCAACACAATTTTATCTTCTCTACTCTCCTTCCTTTCCTCGTTTACACCCGATCAACTTGTTATCACACTTACACCCACGTACACCCGTCCACTACACCCACCTACACTACACTCACCCACCCACTCTTCCACCCTTTTCGCCCACCTCTCTCTCTCTCTCTCTCTCACCTACCTTGTCAGAGAGGATGAGGAGGGTGTGGGCGAGCTTGGTGGCCAGGTCAACAGGTGCAGGAGACAGCAAGATGAATTCCTCTAAGGGCGAATGGTTGTGTTTCTTGCTCATCAGCGTCAGGTCGTGGACATACTGTAACATTATCAAGGTCGTGGACATACTGTAACATTATCAAGGTCGTGGACATACTGTAACATTATCAAGGTCGTGGACATACTGTAACATTATCAAGGTCGTGGACATACTGTAACATTATCAAGGTCGTAGACATACTGTAACATTATCAAGGTCGTGGACATACTGTAACATTATCAAGGTCGTGGACATACTGTAACATTATCAAGGTCGTGGACATACTGTAACATTATCAAGTGTTAAGTTACCACGGACAGCAGGTAGATTAATTAAGTATAAATTAGATCAGTTACTGTAATTGTTAATATAGGTTTAAGTAATACAGAAACCAGGTATATAGTTCTAAATTAATACACCTGTACATAGTAAGTATACTAATAAGGTAAGGAGAAAATACAGTAGCCTAATTACAGGTTAATTACAGGTGTATGTACCGCTGGGAGCCATTTAAGTATTTTGAATTATGTAGCGTATTCCTCTCTCTCTCTCTCTCTCTCTCTCTCTCTCTCTCTCTCTCTCTCTCTCTCTGTTTACTGGTGAGATTTTGTTATACTTGTACTCTTCTTCCTCCTCTTTTCTTCCACCTCTTCCCTCCTTCTCTTCCTCTCTCTTCCTCCTCCTCTTCTCTTCCACCTCTTCCCTCCTTCTCTTTCTCTCTCTTCTTCTTCTTCTGTACCTTCTCTTCCTGGCTCTTATTCTTCCTCATCCTCTACCCTTCTCGTTTTCTCTCTTACGCCTCTACCTACCACCCACCCACCCACCCACCACCCACCACCCCCACCCACACCACCCACACCACCCACCCACCTTCTTATCCTCCAGTAGTTTATAAGAGTCATGCTTCTTGTTAATGAGGTAGTTGTAAACGTCGACATGTTCACTAGAGACGGCGAAGGTAATTGGCGTCTTGCCCTCCACTGACTTGTCCTCTGGTGACGCTCCAGCCTCCACCAACAGCTTCACCACCTCTAGATGTCCCGCCCGTGCGCAGTAGTGGAGGGGCCCCAAGCCATCCTGTGAGGAGAAGTTTGGTTGGGTTTGGTTGGTTTTGGTTGGGTTTGGTTGGGGTTTGGTTGGGGTTTGGTTGGGTTTGGTTGGGTTTAGTTTGGGTTTGGTTGGGTTTGGTTGGGGTTGGTTGGGTTTGGTTGGGTTTCGGTTGGGGTTTGGTTGGGTTTGGTTGGGTTTGGTTTGGGTTTGGTTGGGTTTGGTTTGGGTTTGGTTGGGTTTTGGTTTGGGTTTGGTTGGGTTTGGTTGGGTTTGGTTGGGTTTGGGTTGGGTTTGGTTGGGTGAATATGGAGTGAAAAGTTTATGTTGTAGGGTGTGGAGTGTGGAGTGATGGATGTGGCAGGGAGTGGCCACACCCAAGAACAAAAACAACACTACTCTAGGCACACTACTTTGGCCACACTACTTTGGCCACACTACTTTGGCCACACTATTAGACTTACACGATCCTTGGCTCCTAGTTCAGCTCCCTGGCCCATGAGGAGGGCCACCAGATGATAGTGGCCATGCATAGCTGCTAGGTGAAGGCCAGTCCTCCCACGCTTGTCCATCTTGGCCACCTAATAAGAGATGATCACCCAAGGTTATAACAAGAGACATAGGAAGACAATGATGAGAATTCCTTAACAAATTATAGGGTTTTGAAGACTATAATTATAAGGTTTTGAATTCTATAATTTGGAGATTTTGAAATATAGTGTTAATTTGTCTATGTCCAGTTTGAATATTTTGTTATTTTTGGTTATTTTTTTGTTACCATTATTGTTATTCACTTCTTGTAGGATAACGAATGAGGGAGAGGAATAGAGATATGATAAATGAGAGGAAAATTAACAGAGACGAAGACTAGAGAGGGAGAGAAAGAGAGATAAATGCAAATAAAGAACGGTAGCAATTGAAATAGAGAGAGAGAGAGAGAGTAACAAACACTCTCTCTCTCTCTCACACACACACACACACACACACACACACACCTGTACATCTCACCTGCTTGGTAGATTTGGACAGCAGTAGACCCACGACAGATGTATGGCCTCCGATACACGCCAGGTGAAGCGGTATGTATCCCTGTGTGAGGAGCAGGTGAGGTGACCATTAGTGAGGGAGGGGAGAGGGGGAGGTGAGGGGAGAGAGATAGAGGGGGAGAAGACACTAGGAGAAAGTATGAAAGAGAAACAGAGAGAGTGAGAGAGACGGGAAAAAAGTAAGTAGGACCTTCGGGAAATATCAGAAATAGAAAAAAAATAACATTTGAGAAGGACGGAAAGAAAAGATAAATTTTAGCCTCTTGGGAAATAATCAGAAACAGGTAGAAATACTCTTGAGAAAACCGGCGTAAGAAGTCTCGCTGCCCGTACTGTAAACAGCACGACCACCATAGACTCTGAGGATTGTGTATTAAAAGAGGGTTGAATAGTTGTGTGGAGAGAGAGAGAGAGAGTAATATTGACACCAGGGAAATATAACAAATCCCTGAAAAAATAACCATTGTAAATCATTAACTTTTTACGTTCAATAGAGTAAAGTTCATCCTACTGTTCACCAGAGGCCAAGACAGGTTATTATTTCCGCCTTACTTACGTTCAGTCTGGAGGTGACGTCAGGCTGGACTCCTGGAATGTTGAAGAGGATCCTAACTACTCCTTCATTACCCTCGTGGGCGGCTAGATGTAAGGGCGTCAGATCGGCCTCCGCCCCTAGGTCTGGTAGGAACGGCCGCCCACCGCTCAATATGGGCGGGTCGGACTTGATGGTAGCAGGTATATGGGATAGGAGCTCCCGTACGATCTCTGGCCAGGGGGATGGGAAGGATAGGTAGAGTCATCAAGTATAATGATGAAGGAATGTGCCTCCTTAAATGTGTTCACTGGTTTAATTTATTATTCTCAGAAGATAATGTTATCCTAAACTTGACCTCTGACCCGAGCTGACCTGTCTGTCCGTAGTAGGCTGCGATGTGGAGGGCGTAGAGGCCGAGTTTCTTACTGGTGATCCGAAGACTCGTGACCTCCTTGAGAGTGTCGAGGACCTGGATATGACCGTACCTGGCAGCCATGTGTACCGCCGTGAACCCCATCTGGCGGGAGAAGACGACACTACTTGACACATACAACACACTCTTGCACAACAAATGACACACTCATATGACACGCACTCACACTAAACGACACACACACTCACTCAAAGCAACACACACTTATACACTAAACCAACATATTGCGACAGACTGAGTTATGTGAGAAAAGCCATTGAGTTAGAAGCGTATAGAGAATAGATACGCCCAAGAAACGCAATATAAAACTTACGCCATTCTCAGCCTTGGGTGAGGCGCCGTTCTCTATGAGGAACTTAACGAGGGTGGCGTGGCCTCCCTCAGCAGCCAGGTGGAGGGTCGTGGACTCCCCGACGCGGTTCTTGCCGTTGATGACCACACCTCTGTTGTGTCGCATCAGCTCTCTCACCACGTCCACTGACCCCTGTAGCGCTGCGATATGTGCACACGTGTTCCCGTCCTGGTGAAGAACTCTATAATGTTCACTTGGAAAATTTTATACAGACGAAAAACTACGCCAGGTGTGGTTATATACAGGTGTTTCGGTGTTACGTTTGCTTAGGAAAATATGAGAATGACAATAAAGTACAGGTGTGATGTATGACTACAGGTGTGGTGTTCCTACAGGTGTTCTCGTCATGATGTAATGTTTTTTTAAGGTAAAGATATGAAAGGTGATAAATGACTACAGGTGTGGTGTACCTACAGGTGTTCTAGCTCCCATGATGAAGTCTTGAGTGAGGGAAATATTTGTGATGCTGGCTACTGTATAATTACTTTTACAACTGTTGCTATTTCTACTATATTTTCTGTTCCTACTCCTACTACTACTACTACTACCTAACCTACTACTACTACTACTACTTTTTTTTAATTGGCCTCCATCCTCCCCTTATAGCCATACCTTCGCCACCATTTTATTACCTTAAAATTACTACTACTACAACTACTTATCTTGCCCTCCTCTCCTCCTCACCTCCTCACCTTGTCAGCGGTGGTGACCAACTCAGGAGAAGTCTTAAGGAAGAGCTTCACCACCTCAGAGTTGTTCCTCATGGCGGCGACGTGGACGGCCTTCTGCCCTCCGTCGTTAGTGGCGTCATAGTCTGCTCCCAGCTGCAGGAGGGTATCACAGACCTCCAGTTGTCCCTCCTCCGCCGCCAGGTGTAGTGGCGTTTGTTTCGTCTGTTGGTGGGCGTCAGTACATGATCGTCAAGCTCCATCACAGTGGTGAATAAAGACTCGTAAAATATAGGTATACATTCTTAACAGTCACAGGTAATTGGTAACTGGATAATTGTCAATAGTTTATAATTAGAATCAAGATATGGGTAACATTGGCTGTAGTTAGGTGGCAACTTCTTACTGACGAGGAAAATCATCGCCGTGACTCACCAGTGTCAGCGCCTCCTTCTGTGCGTGGCTTTTGGTGATGAGGGACCGCACCAGGTCGTTGAAGCCCTTCATAGCCGCCAGATGGAGCGCCGTCAGCCCCGACATGCTGCGGGCGTTGACGAAGGCCTTGTGGGTGAGCAGGGCGTCGATCACCTGGGGGAGGAGAGTGGGGAGGTTAATAGTGGGGAGGAGAGAGAGAGGGGAGGGAGAGGAAGAGTGAGCAGGGTTGAGGAAGAAGGAAGTGAGAGATGGAATAAAAGACGTGGGAGGAGGGAGGAGAGGGAACGATAGATAGATACAGAGAAGAGAACAAAATCGTTTCGTAAATTTTCCTGACACTGACTCGACATCCATCAGGTAGTAGCCCGATATTCACCACCAGGGGCCCGATATTCACCATCTAGGGCCCGATATTCACCACCAGGGGCCCGATCACTCACCATCTAGGGCCCGATATTCACCATAGGGATATTCCCACCAGATATTCACCAGGGGCCCGATCACCACCATCTACCCGATATTCACCACCAGGGGCCCGATCACTCACCATCTAGGGCCCGATATTCACCACCAGGGGCCCGATATTCACCATCTAGGGCCCGATATTCACCACCAGGGGCCCGATCACTCACCAACTTATAACCATGTTCTGCCGCCAGGTGGAGCGCTGCTTTGCCCTCACTGTCGAACACGTCGACCCTGGCGTGATGGTCGAGTAAGGTGGAGACGATTCCTTCATGGCCGTTCTCTGCTGCGTTGAGTAGAGGCGACCAACCACGTGACGACTGCATGTTTACCAACTTCTGGATCTGTGGAGGTTAGGTTAGGTTAGGTTAGGCTAGGTTAGGTTAGGTTAGGTTAGGTTAGGTGGGGATGAACATGGTTAGGTGAGGTTAGGTTAGGCTAGGTTAGGTTAGGTTAGGTTAGGTTAGGTGGGGATGAACATGGTTAGGTGAGGTTAGGTTAGGATGAACATGGATAGAAATGAGAAGTGAACGTGAGGAACGATGAACGATAGGATAGGTTAGGCTAGGTGTAAAGGGAATGAATAAAATGAGAAATGGTAAAGAATGATAAACAGAAAATGAGAAAGAAAGAAACATTCCCAAAAAGTGATGAACAGTGAACGAGCAAATGTTACGTAGGAGGAAGGAGCGAGAACTGATAAACAAGTAAGAGGCAAAATAATAATAATCTTAGGATAACGACAGTAAACTTAAACCAAACCAGAATATATAAGAAAATAAAATACAAATATAAATGTATTTAAAGTGAAGTAAACAAAAGACCATGACTAAAATATTAACTCTGCCTCACTGACCTTGTCTTGAGGGGCGAACTGTAGCATCTCATCAAGCACAGCCTCGTTGCCTGATGTAGCCACGTAATGTACGGGCGTCTCTGAGTTCTGTATCAGGGGAAAGGTTTTATAATGTAATATAGAGTAGTTGCTCCTCAATGTATGAATCTGGTACGTTTTCTCTAATTCAATACGTTTTTTTGTGTGGTTTATGGATAACTTAACTAAATTAAAGAAAATTTGGTCTATAAAACAAAATGAATTGTATTAATCTGTATAAAACAAAATAAATTATATTCATATGTATAAAACAAAAATAAAAGGTTTATTTGTAGGTAAAGATTCATAAATTTCCATAATGAGAAATTAAAAACCAAAATAGGTTTTTCTTATGTTATTGGTGGTGATTTAAAAGCATATGACATTTATTTTTGTGATTGATGGTTATTTATGGTGATACAATAATGGTTTTCAGAAGGTGGGAAAGGCATTGTAGATGAGGTGAAATGTAATGAACCATTGTTGTAGGTAATGGTAGTAGTAGTAGTGGTAGTGGTGTGGTGGTGGTGGTGGTAGTGTGGTGGTGGTGGTGGAGGTGTGGTGGTGGTGGTGGTGGTAGTGTGGTGTGGGTAGGTAGGTGTAGTGGTGTAGTGTGTGGTGGTGGTAGTGTAGTGGTAGTGGTAGTGGTGGGTAGCAGTGTGGTGGTGGTAGTGTGGTGGTGGTGGTAGTGTGGTAGTGTGGTGGTGGTGATCATAAACTTTTGAATCATCTGTTTTCGTTGTTAATTTCTCATTCTGTTTACTAACGAATGTTTACTTGTAATATGACCGTGAGCATTACAGTGAACCCTCCCTTTAACGGAATCTTTGGAGAGAGAAGTCCGTTATATCCAGACTCCATTAGATGTGAAACCCTCCCTTTAACGAACTATATAGAGATGAAATTCCGTTATATCGAGACTCCATTACAGTGAACCCTCCCTTTAACGGAATCTTTGGAGAGAGAAGTCCGTTATATCCAGACTCCATTAGATGTGAAACCCTCCCTTTAACGAACTATATAGAGATGAAATTCCGTTATATCGAGACTCCATTAGATGTGAAACCCTCCCTTTAACGAACTATATAGAGATGAAATTCCGTTGTATCGAGACTCCATTAGATGTGAAACCCTCCCTTTAACGGAATATAATAGAGGTCCGTTATATGAAGGCTTCACTGTATATGGCGTCTGTTATGGTACTCACGTGTGGTAAATGTTCTTTGAGTTGGGTATAATAAGTCACTGGTCTCTTGCTCTCCGTCTCCTGGTGTGATAGTGTAAGAAGCCTTATAGTGACGTATAGTGACTGTATAATGACAGTGAGAGACTAACGTATCAGATATGGTTTGATATTTTTTTATGGTGACTAATTTACACATTATTATTGAATGCCGTGGCTGAGTTGATAGTGGACTTACTGCCTCCTGTCTCTTGGTTCGATCCCACGTACTCCCAGTCTCTTAACTAGCTCTATAAATTGGGTGGTTTAATTCCTTATCGTCATTATTATTGTTACTGTCACTAACATCACAATAAACAAAGAGTTAATAGATTATCTTCCAACTACCTGTAATAAAGTAGTGTAGGTGTGTTAACTGGTCAGGTGAGGGTAAGGATTGTTGGTTATTATTCCCAACAGGTGGCAGCACAGGGTGGGGGTAAGGATTGTTGGTTATTATTCCCAACAGGTGGCAGCACAGGGTGAGGGTAAGGATTGTTGGTTATTATTCCCAACAGGTGGCAGCACAGGGTGAGGGTAAAGATTGTTGGTTATTATTCCCAACAGGTGGCAGCACAGGGTGAGGGTAAGGATTGTTGGTTATTATTCCCAGCAGGTGGCAGCACAGGGTGGGGGTAAGGTTTGTTGGTTATTATTCTAACCCAACAGGTGGCAGCACAGGGTGGATTGGGGAACAGGTGGCAGCACAGGTGAGGTAAGGATTGTGGGTTATTATTCCCAACAGGTGGCAGCACAGGGTGAGGGTAAGGATTGTTGGTTATTATTCCCAACAGGTGGCAGCACAGGGTGAGGGTAAGGATTGTTGGTTATTATTCCCAACAGGTGGCAGCACAGGGTGAGGGTAAAGATTGTTGGTTATTATTCCCAACAGGTGGCAGCACAGGGTGAGGGTAAGGATTGTTGGTTATTATTCCCAGCAGGTGGCAGCACAGGGTGGGGGTAAGGTTTGTTGGTTATTATTCCCAGCAGGTGGCAGCACAGGTCGGCGTCAGTGGCAAGTGCTCAGTCGTGGTTGGTGGTAAAGGTGTGATGAAACAGCTTTTGATCTGTTCTAAAAACCATGTACAGTTATCTTGCATTAAGGACAAATAAATAAATATGGTGAATAGAAAAACAGATCAGAAGAGGAACAAACAAAATATATATTATTTAAACTGATTTGAGACTTCATGAATGACCCATACCTTACAAATACCCACCCATAGCCTACACATACCCACCCACACTCTCCCATACCCACCCATACACATCCATATTCACCCACACTCCCCCATACCTACACAAAACTCAGTGTAAATCAGAGAATGTTAGACGAAGTTCTTATGGAAAAATAAGTCAGTGAAGAAACGTGATAATGATAGTTGAGGCTTTATGAGAGAGAGAGAGAGAGAGAGAGAGAGAGAGAGATAATGACAGGTGGAGATCATTCTCTTTACCTTGCTAGTCACGACCATGAGGTGAGCCCCATTGGTCAGGAGAAGATTTGTAATTTCGCGGTCTTCACCAGCCTTGTAGGTGGCGTTCTTCTTGTTGATGCGGCCAGCGTAGTGCAGCGCTGATTCCCCCAGGTTATTCTGTCGGGAAGGTACTCAAGCTTTAGTTGTACCCCTTGAGTACGATAACATAACCCTTTGAGTACGATAACATAACCCTTTGAGTACGATGATATAAACTTTGAGTACAATAACATAGCCCTTTGAGTACGATAACATAACCCTTTGAGTACGATGATATAAACTTTGAGTACGATAATTAAACTCTTGAGTACGATGGCTTAATCACATGACAATACACCCTCCCCTAACCTAACCTAACCCACCTTGGCATTGACCATCTTGACCACCGCTTCCTTCCCACTCGTCTTAATAACGTGGTCAATGAGCATCTTGGCTGCTTCAACCCTGCACGACGAGCACGCCAGGTGAAGAGCCGTCTCCCCAGGACAGAGAGTGGCGAGGCATGCTGAGAGGGAGTAGTCATGAGGAGGCCGAGAGGGTGAGGGTCAGCAGGAAAGAGTGAGTGGGTCATGAGAGGGGAACAGGATAGAGAAGGAGGAGTGGGGTGATGAGAGGGGGAGTGGTCATGAGAGGGTGAATGAGTGGTCATGAGAGGGAAGTGAGTGGTGATGAGAGGGGAAGTGAGTGGTGACATACGTATATACAGACTATATACATAAAGATAAAGGAATTAGTTTATATAAATAAATAATCTTATGTAAATATTTAGTTATAAAACAATTATATCGATAAATATTTATCTACAGATATATGGATATAGATGAGCTGAATAGATAGATAGATAGATAGATAGATAGATAGATAGATAGATATAACATCAAGTAAAAAATAGAGAAGCATATTTCAGCCCTTCAGACAGACAGACAGGCACACAGACAGACAGGCAGACAGACAGACACAGACAGACAGGCAGACACACAGACAGACAGACACAAACACACAGACAGACAGACAGACACACAGACAGACAGACAGACACACAGACAGACAGGCAGACACAGACAGACAGACACAAACACACAGACCTTAGACTGAAGGAGCGGCTTAGCACTGTCATCCTCCAACAAGAGCTTCAAGGTCTTTAGGTTGCCGTAGTAGGCCGCCAGGTGGAGGGGCGTCTGGCCGTCATCCTTGGGCAGGTTAGCGTCAGCCCCAGACTTCAGCAGCATCTCGGCACACTTCTCTCCGTCCTGCACCCTGGCGGAGAGGTGAAGCGCTGACTCCCTAGATGATCCGCCTGCAGGAGAGAGATGCCCTTGGGTTAGTGAGGTACTCCGGCACTACACTCCACCACCTTTACTTCCCCCAATGGTAAAGTCAGGTTACCCATTCACCCTGGGCTCGAACCAATGATCATTAGGACGGGAGGTGAGCGCTGTATCCACTAGACCACCACAAACATGAATCATTATTTCTTACCAGTTTCTTCACTCATCCTTTTATTTATTATTTATTATGTATGATCAGTTATTTACATATTTCTTTATGTTTTTTATTTATTGTTGATTTTGTTACTGAAAAATAATGATGACGGGTTGTTGTCAACTTTTGTTTTGGGTGATAATTTATTGCACCTTAATTAAACAACTGAGGAGGTATATGAGAGGCACTGACCTGGTGAGAGTGGCACTGACCTGGTGAGAGTGGCACTGACCTGGTGAGAGTGGCACTGACCTGGTGAGAGTGGCACTGACCTGGTGAGAGTGGCACTGACCTGGTGAGAGTGGCACTGACCTGGTGAGAGTGGCACTGACCTGGTGAGAGCAGCCTGACCTGGTGAGAGAGTGGCACGACTCCTGGTGAGGAGTGGCACTGACCTTGCACACATGGTGAGGTTTGTTCGTGACTCCAACAACGCCTCAACTATTGCTGCTTCCTGCCTTAACAGCTATATGGAGAGCCATAGCCGTCCTGTTGGGGGTGTTAGAACAAAGGTGTGTGTGTTAACGACAGTAACCTTCTACACACTATATATTATTATTATTATTATTATTACAGTAGTAGTAGTAGTAGTAGTAGCTATTATTATTATTATTATTATTATTACATACACATTATTATTATTATTATTATTATTATTATTATTATTATTTATTATTAGTAGTAGTAGTAGTAGTATTATTATTATTATTATTATTATATAATATTTAATATTATTATTATTATTATTATTATTATTATTATTATTATTATACACATTATTATTATTATTATTATTATTATTTTTTTTTTTAAGTCCACACGGGAGGAAGTAGAGAGAGAGAGAGAGATAGACAGATAAATAAAAGAGAGAATCATAGAAAGAAGAGGAAAGAATGATACAGGAATAAAGTTGATATCAGGAGAGACAGAGAAAGGGTGAGAAAGATAGAGTGAGAGTGAGAGAGAGAGAGAGAGGCCAGACTCACGTTGGTGGTAACATCGACGTGTTCCCCCTTGTGCAGTATAGCGTTCACTACCCCGACGTGCCCTCGCTGGGCCGCTGTGTGGATACAACGAGCCCCGCTCTTGTTGGGCATGTGTAGCGGCACACCTGTAGGGAGGGTCAGTACACACCTGTTAGTAGTGTATCATATATGTAGCTACACACCTACGGGAAGGAGAGTGCTGTAGGTAAGCATTAATATGGTTCAGGTGCACCTGTAGAAGGCTAAATAAACCCCGGTTAAACAGTGCCTAGCAGGGAACACTGGCAACACCTGTAATCAATACACAACAGGTAGTTAATTAATAATGTTTAGCAGGTGAAAGGGATAGTCTATATATTTACTGATTTAACTTAAACCTTAATATTTACTTAATACTTAACACTAAACCCAACAACTTTTTTCATTAATAATTACAATAATCGTAAATTTACAACCAGGTATTTTAACTCCTTTAATACGCTAACTTTAATCCCCCAAGTACAATGTCTTACTCAGGGGAACAGCTCAACGTATAATGAAGCGGTGAAGACCTTTCACTCAAGGGATTAACTCATTATACTGAGACTTTAGTATGTGTTCTTGTGGTAATAAACCAACTTAGGTCCACAGAGTGTTTTAGGAGAGGCAGTGCTTCAATAAAACACCCGGGTCTTAAAACTTAAAACTGACATTGTTAGTTTTAATTATACTCCATAAACCAAGTGGAGAATGATTAATGAAACTCTCTCTCTCTCTCTCTCTCTCTCACCTTTTCTGAGGAAGGCCATGACGGTGTCTGGGTGGCCATGGAGGGAGGCAATATGGACCAGGGTGGAGCCATCTTTAGTCCGATCCATAACTGACGCCTTGTACTTCTCAGCCAAGAGGTCGACCACTGGGGTGAAGCCATTCTCCGCCGCCACGTGGATAGGGGTGCGGTCTGTGGTCGGGGGAAAGAGGGTGACCAGGTAAGGGGAGCGAGGTAGAGTTAGTGGGCGTGAAGGGGTGACTAAGGGGGGGTTAAGGGAGTAGGAAGGGCGTATGAGAGATGGTGTTTAGTCGACAGGACGTTGGAGAAGGTGTAACTTTGATGGGGGATAAAATATGTAGTTGTGGGTTCGAAAGTAAAGGAATTAAACACTTGTATTTGGTTATAAACTGTGGTGATAAAGTGGTAGCCATTGACTATAATGCCGCTGTACTCCTGTTAAGACCTGTATCATGTTTGACTATAGTGCTCTCAGCCAATCATTATACCTTTAATAGCCATCCAAGGTTATGATAGGTTAATAATAGCCTTCAAATACTCACCGAACTTGTCCATTATGTTAGGGTTGGCGTGAACTGTATAGAAGAACTTGACGGTAGGTTCATCTCCTTCCTCGGCAGCGATGTGTAGAGGCGTCTGTCCCGCCGCCTGAGGGAGTGGCAGCAGCAGCAGGAGGAGGAGGAGGAGAAGGCGTTAGGTGAGGTGGTGGTTGGTGAGATGAGGGCTTACAAGGATCCACTTATAATAGACCCCAGTTATAATAGACCCCAGTTATAATAGACCCCAGTTATAATAGACCCCAGTTATAATAGACCCCAGTTATAATAGACCCCAGTTATAATAGACCCCAGTTATAATAGACCCCAGTTATAATAGACCCCAGTTATAATAGACCCCAGTTATAATAGACCCCAGTTATAATAGACCCCAGCCTAACCTAACCTAACCATACTTTAGAGCACAACCCGAAGGAGCTGTCACACGTCTTGTTATTGTTCCTAAGAATGTTTCTGTTTACACTCGACAATGACCTTAACATAAACCACCTCATCTATTTAATTTATACCACCTACCTACCTATTTACTGAGGGTATGCGGTGTGTGGTATGCGGTGTGTGGTATGTGGTGTGTGGTATGTGGTGTGCGGTATGTGGTGTGTGGTATGTGGTGTGTGGTATGTGTGTGGCGTGTTCTTACAGTGTGTTAACATGACTCTAATTCCTGTCACTCAGTCGATCAGGTGTTGGTATGTTAATCTCTATAAAGGTGAGAAATACCTCAAGTATGTAAATGAGGTGTGTGTGTGTGTGTGTGTGTGTGTGTGTGTGTGTGTGTGTGTGTGTGTGTGTGTGTGTGTGTGTGTGTGTGTGTGTGTGTGTGTATTTACTTAACCATTGTTTTTGTAGTAATTATGAGACATTATCATCTACATTGTTATTAATTTCACTTCCTCGTGTACTGATGGCTACACCCTCATGTCTTAGGCCTCTATGGGCGCGTGATGGAGTGGGCTCTTTTTATAGACATTAACATATTATTTCGTAATTAAAACAAAGTAAACCAAGAGCGCTGTTCATGTAATTGGAGGTTTATTATACGCGTTAAATTAGTGGAAGGGTGAGTAGGGCGTGGTCGGTGTGAGGGAGGGTGAATCTACCTCACATAACCTGGCCAGGGAGGAGCTAATGGCTTCATGTGGTACTCTTCATGTCCTTGGTTAGTTTCATGGTCGTTTCCGCCTCATAGTTTAGGTTCTTGTGATGCGGTGTGTTGGTCAGGGTCATAGGTGTAAAAAATATAATAGTTTGTGTTAGAGGTAAACTTTCTATGAGAAAGTATATAGTATAGAAAATGATTTTTTAAGGATAACTATTGTAATAATTTACTTCCTCCAGAATTTTCAAAGTACTGTATATACTTAATGTACTCGGCGTCTATAAATAATATCCCTCTTAACATAGCTTTAACCTTATCTAGCCTGAGTGATTAATATTGATTAAGGTAATTAACTGATACAGTAATTGCTTGTTGGATAGTCAGCCAACGATAATCTGACACATGTTCTTAACTAAAAGTTATAAAATGACAGGATTTTGATAATTTAAATTAATAATAACGATCAAGAATGCTATACAATGACTGACGGTTTCGTGTGGTGCAGCTCTCTCTGGGGAACGACTGAATCACCACACACAGGAATGGAACGACCCCTGACAAATGGCTACCCTGTGTTCCCACCTCAACCTTGTGTCAGACAATAGAGGCAATAATGCGTAAGAATATTAGACGTGTGACTATTACATGTCAGCGAATCATGAAGTCCACATCAGCGACACTTATATAGGAAAGAACTAAGATGATGTCCGGTGGATGGGCTACCAGGCGTTTCCTAAGATCATTCATTCTGTTTTCCCAGTACGGAGGGGGGGGGGGGGTCCCAGCCTTAAGAAAAGCAAGAAAATTGACCTCAACATGAAAGGTTATGTTATTAACTCTCTCCAACTTAAATTATTTTCAAAATCGTATCTCAACAAACTAATTTAAAAAGGCATTGGATGTATTTCAAATAATTATTTTAATAATGAATGTTAGTTTCATGCAGCTATGAATTTAAATGTTGACGCATAATGTAAATTATATGTATTTTTTTAAATTATTTTAAAACATTGGGTATATTTATAATAATTATTTTAGTAATGAATTATAGTTTCGTGCAGCTATGAATGTTCCTCTGTTTACATCAGGAGGTTCTGCTGCTCCTCACTGTACAAGTCACCTCAAGGTTTCGTTTTGCTCTATGAATTTATCCCTTGCCCTCAAATCAGACATATTATATTAAGTTGTGAATATATTAACGGTAAAACGCATAATTTATCATATCTCGAAAAGCAAAGTAAAGTAGTGAAGACTTTTGCTGAAACTTGGAGATTGAAGGAGTTGCAGCGGTGTACACAAGTCACAAGGTATCACAGAATTACTGACGGTAGCATTAGGTTTGAGTTGATGTGAGAACTATGAAGTAAGAAGTGATGAAGAACGATAAATAGAAGTGATCTTGATGTTTGTGACACTTTACGGAAGCCGATGCGCTGTTGTTTAGATTCATCAGCTGACACGTCGTCCAGTACGGAGACTGACGCGCAAGATTTGAAGCCACAATCTGTGTACGGTGTAAGGCAGCATGGAGCATAATATCTCAGAATTCGTAACATCAAGCTGCTAATGTGAGTTATTTACTGTGACATTCAACAGATAGATCTACAATACTAGCCTTGTTTATTACTGTTCGCTACCATCCTTTTGAAGTCATCTCAATTAAGGTCTCAAATGTTCTTTATTATTTATCAGGGGTAATTTTTAGTGTTACACGTATACAGTACATTAATGGAGGATAATATTTGTACAGACTATTGAAGTTTGTGAAGGCATCTGGTAAATTTATTTGATAGGTCACTGTAGTATTAATCAAACCTTAATTTAATTTTATTGTAAACATGTAAGATTAATACAGCATTCACGTGTAAATTATTATACAATATTTCTTCAGTAATATTATAGAGATGGCCTAAATTAATTAACTATAAAGAATAATATATAATGTACAGTAACTCACTCAAGAAAACATTGCCTCGTGACGCTAAAGAGTATGTTACCAGATGCCACCATAAGCTAATATAATCTGTACTGTCTGAATCTTGCTGAACAATTGTGGCTATATTAACTTGTTCACATGTCTAGATCTACACTTGACTAATATTACATCAGAGACAGATAGTCAAAGAATTACGGGATCACAATCACGTAGAATTACAATCACAGTAACAATCACAGTCACAATCACAGACTCGTACAATCACAGTAACAATCACAGACTCGTACAATCACAGTAACAATCACAGTCACAATCACAGACTCGTACAATCACAGTAACAATCACAGAATCGTACAATCACAGTCACAATCACAGACTCGTACAATCAGAGTAGAACGGTAAAAAAAACTCCCCCTTAACCACAGAGTTAAAAAGTAACTTCCTTGGGAGTGGAATTGTGATGAGTTCATGGTCGAAGATGAGACAGGGAGAGAGACGGGAAGAAAGTGAGACAGGGAGAGAGACGGGAAGAAAGTGAGACGGAGAGAGACGGGAAAAAAGTGAGACAGGGAGAGAGACGGGAAGAAAGTGAGACAGGGAGAGAGAAACGGGAAGAAAGTGAGACAGGGAGAGAGAGACGGGAAGAAAGTGAGACAGGGAGAGTGAAACGGGAAGAAAGAGAGAAAGGAGAAGGAGGGAGGGTGAAAATGTAAGTTGATTTAACACGAACCTGGTAAACACTCTCTCTCTCTCTCTCTCTCTCTCTCTCTCTCTCTCTCTCTCTACATAACCAAGGTGATTAAAATGCATTACGTAGTTCCATAAAGATAATGGGGGTCCTATTTCTGGTGGCACTTTAGGAGTGTTTCACGACACCTTTACCGCACTACCTAGCATGATGGCGTCGAGTGTTTCAGGGCACCTTTACCGCACTACCTAGCATGATGGCGTCGAGTGTTTCAGGGCACCTTTACCGCACTACCTAGCATGATGGCGTCGAGTGTTTCACGACACCTTTACCGCACTACCTAGCATGATGGCGTCGAGTGTTTTCAGGGCACCTTTTTCTACTAGCATGATGGCGTCAGGTGTTCAGGACACCTTACCGCACTACTGGCATGACGTCAGGTGTTTCAGGGCACCTTTACCGCACTACCTAACGCGTGGCGTCAAAGAGTGTTCAGGAGCACCTTCCGCACTACACGCGCGCCGGTGGCGTAATTGCTGGGACTGCTTACCGCACTACCTAGCATGATGGCGTCAGAGTGTTTCCGACTTTTATACCGCACTACCTAACGCCAGTGGCGTCCAGTGTTTCAGGGCACCTTTACCGCACTACCTGGCATGATGGCGTCAGGTGTTTCAGAACTGCCTTTTGCGCGCTACCTAGCATGATGGCGTCAGGTGTTTCAGGACACCTTCACCGCACTACTGGCATGATGGCGTCGAGTGTTTCACGACACTTTACCGCACTAGCATGATGGCGTCGAGTGTTTCAGGGCACCTTTACCGCACTACCCTGGCATCGGCCCGCGTCTGTGTGTTTCCAGAACGCACTACCTGGCATGATGGCGTCAGGTGTTTCTGAGGCACCTTTACCTTCACCGCGCCAGTGGCGTTAGCAGTGTTTCAGGTACCTTTACTGCTAACGGTAAGCGTCAGGTGTTTCAGGGGCACCTTCCACCCTAGCATAGTGGTCCAGGTGTTCAGCGTTTTACCTTTACCACTACCCTAGCATGATGGCGTCAGGTGTTTCAGGCACCTTTGCCACTGCACAACGCCAGTGGGTCAGGAATCATTTCAGGCTTCTGCACTACCGCATGATGGCGTCAGGTGTTTGAAGACTTGTACCGCACCTGGCATGATGGCGTCCAGGTGTTTCAGAACACCTTTGCCGCACTACCCTGGCGTCAGATCAGTGTTTCACGACACCTTTACCGCACTACCTAGCATGATGGCGTCGAGTGTTTCAGGGCACCTTTACCGCACTACCTAGCATGATGGCGTCGAGTGTTTCAGGGCACCTTTACCGCACTACCTAGCATGAGGGCGTCGTGTCAAGTACCTGTTGTGAAGATATTGTTGAGTAGTGGACCTGTTTTGTCGAGTCGTGTCTATATTAAATGATTGTATTGATAATAGTGGTGATACTACTACTACTACTACTACTAATAATAATAATAGTAACGTCATTATAGCTATCTTCGGTATCATCACCAGTACTTATTATTATTATTGTTGTTATTTTAACCTTCTTCTTCATTGTTGTTATTGTATTGTTGTTTTTTTTCGGTGATGTCAACTTAACATCCCACATTCGTACCTGGGCCATATTGTATCATTCTTAGGTAGAGCGGCAACATACACACGTCTCTGGTTAACCAAAACTCTTATAAACTCGGATAATTATACTTTGTGGATAACTGTAATGGATCCCGTATGGACGATGGGTTTTAATTTTTAACTTTACACTTTAAATATCACTCTAAATAATACTTACACTTACATTCTGGGCATTGACGTTGATTTTTAATGCCACACTTTACACTTTATGTCTCCTGAAAGTATACTTAACACTCAAATAATATCACACTTACATTTTGGACATCTGTGTTGGATCCCGCTTCGACTAGGATCTTAACCATGTCAGTGTCCTTCTTCCTGCAGGCGATGTGGAGAGCAGTGTCCCTGGTGTGACCCCGTATGGCCTTGACCTGGTCCCCACCGTGATGAAAGACCAGTTCCCTCACCAGGCCCTGATGACTCGCCTCCACCGCCAGGAACAGAGGGATGTCACCGCGCTGTGTTGGACGTGTGAGGAACAACAGGTTAGTGAGGTGTGAAGGTGAGGTGTGAAGATAACAGGTAGATGAAGTTAGTGATGATAAATGAGGAAGTAAGGGAATCGTGTGTGTGTGTGTGTGTGTGTGTGTGTGTGTGTGTGTGTGTGTGTGTGTGTGTGTGTCAATGTGTGTGTGTGTGTGTGTGTGTGTGTGTGTGTGATATGCGTGGTGTTCGTGGTCATTAGTAAGAAATTAAGGTAGTATATATACTGTATGTGTGTGTACAGGTATATAGTAGGTGTCTTAAAGGTTAATTACATCTTGAGGGCGTACAGGTGTATGTTGATGAGGGAAGGTTACCAAACGTTATGTTCAGGAAGGACTTAATTCTCGTTTTAATAATCGAATAAAAATTAATTCTTCAAATCTATTAATAACTAGTGAGTAATGTTCGTGACTATTTTCATATAAATGTCTGACTAACATTATTTCTCACTATTTTTGCCTGACGTGAGCCTCGTGTTATGCTCCTCAAGGTCAACCTCAACACAAGTAGTGACTCGTAGCGCTTAAGTACCGAGTGATACTCTCTCGTGTTAGGGTAAATTAACACGTGCGTAAGTCTCCCCTGATGGGTCCTAGCTTATTATAACCACACACCTGTCGTCTATATCACACACCTGTCGTCTACACCACACACCTGCCGTCTACACCACACCTGCTGTCTACACCACACACCTGCTGTCTACCACACACCTGCCGTCTACACCACACACCTGCCGTCTACACCACACACCTGCCGTCTACACACACCTGCCGTCTACCACACACCTGCCGTCTACACCACACACCTGCCGTCTACACCACAGAGCCCCCGTGTGAGCTATACTACTGCTCTGTACACCACAATACCGTCATGTACCTACAATACCATCATGTACACCACAATACCGTCATGTACACCTGGCACCGTCATATACACCACAATACCGTCATATACCTAGCCACCGTCATCTTACCACAATGCAAATCATGTACACCACAATACCTTCATGTACACCACAATATAATCATAATACACCACAATACCGTCATAGCACACCTATGCAAATCATGTACACCACAATACAATGACTGTAGCCTAAATTAAATCAGTGTCTGCCTCCTCCTCCTCCTCCTCCTCCTCCTGCCCTCGACACAGTATTGGATTCTTGTGCTCGTTATAATGACGTCAGTACACCTGGCGTCTCCTACTCAAAAAGGTAAATCTGCACAGTGACCTTGGCGAGTGTTTTATTGTGTCGAGGATTAATGAAGGTTGGTGAATTCAGCTGGGCAATAATCCCCACCAGTGACCGAGGATGTGAAGGTTGATGGTGGCTGGGCAATAATCCCACCAGTGACCGAGGATTAATGAAGGTTGATGGTGGCTGGGCAATCCCCACCAGTGGCCGAAGTTAATGAAGGTTGATGGTGGCTGACGTCAATCCCCACACCAGTGACCGAGGATTAATGAAGAAGGTTGATGGTGGCTGGGCAATAATCCCCACCAGTGACCGAGGATTAATGAAGGTTGGTGGTGGCTGGGCAGTAGTCCCCACCAGTGACCAAAGTTAATGAGAGGTTGATGGTGGCTGGGCAGTAATCCCCCACCAGTGACCGAGGATTAATGAAGGTTGGTGGTAGCTGGGCAATAATCCCCACCAGTGACCAAGGATTAATGAAGGTTGATGGTGGCCTGGGCAATAGTCCCACCAGTGACCGAGGATTAATGAAGGTTGGTGAATTGGCTGGGCAGTAGTCCCACCAGTGGCCGAGGACAATGAGAGGTTGATGGTGGCTGGGCAATGTCCACCAGTGACCGAGGATTAATGAAGGTTGGTGGTGGCTGGGCAATAATCCCACCAGTGACCGAGGATTAATGAAGGTTGGTGGTGGCTGAATATGTCCCACCAGAAGTGACCGAGGATTGTGAAGGTTGATGGTGGCTGAGCCAGTAGTCCCCACCAGTGACGGATTAATGAAGAAGGTTGATGGCGGCTGGGCATGTCCCACCAAGTGACCGAGGATTAATGAAGGTTGATGGTGGCTGGGCAATAGTCTACAGTGACCGAGGGATTAATGAAGGTTGATGGTGGCTGGGCAACAATCCCACCAGTGGCCGGATTAATGAAGGTTGATGGTGGCTGGGCAATCAATCCCCACCAGTGACCGAGAGTTAATGAAGGTTGGTGGTGGCTGAGCCAGTAATCCTGATGACCGAGGATTAATAGAGGTTGGTGGTGGCTGGGCAGTAGTCCCCACCAGTGACCGAGAGTTAATGAAGTTGGTGGTGGCTGGGCAATAGTCCCCACAGTGACCGAGGATTAATGAAGGTTGGTGGTGGCTGGGCAACTTAGTCCCCACCAGTGACCGAGTTAAATGAAGGTTGATGGTAGCTGGGCATAATCCCACAGTGACGAGGATTAATGAAGGTTGATGGTGGCTGGGCAATAGTCCCCACCAGTGACCGAGGATTAATGAAGGTTGATGAGTGGCTGGGCTAATCCCCACCAGTGACCGAGGATTAATGAAGGTTGGTGGTGAGCTGGGCAATAGTCCCACCAGTGACCGAAAGTTAATGAAGGTTGGTGGTGGCTGGGCAATAGTCCCCACCCAGTGACCGAGGATTAATGAAGGTTGATGGTGGCTGGGCAGTAATCCCCACCAGTGACCGAGGATTAATGAAGGTTGATGGTGGCTGGGCAGTAGTCCCCACCAGTGACCGAGGATTAATGAAGGTTGATGGTGGCTGGGCAGTAATCCCCACCAGTGACCGAGGATTAATGAAGGTTGATGGTGGCTGGGCAGTAATCCCCACCAGTGACCTACTGTAAAATTATTCGTCTTGTACCATTTTAGTATAATATTTGTGTGGTTTAATTTGGCCTAACCTAACCTAACCTAACCTAACCCAAACTAACCTAACCTGACTTGACCTGACCTGACCTAACCTAACCTGACCTGACCTGATCTAACCTAATTTATGCTAACCTACCCTAACCTAACCTAACCTGCCTTGACCTGACCTGACCTGACCTGACCTCCTCAGGCAAAACTGTATGAAAAAATAGATTATCTGGTTACTTGTTGATTACGGAGAGCGAAAGGTCACATACAGCTCTTGACCTCGTTTAGAAACACTCTTGACCTGGCTGGGTGAAATAAGACTCATTAACCTGAATAAAGAACATTGTTGAGATTTGTGAAGGGGGGGGGGGAGAAAGAGGAAGAGACAGAAAAGAGAGACAGAGAGAAGAGAGAGAGATAAATATAGAGAGGAAAGAGAGAGAGGGAGAGAGAGTATTATGGATTGGTTGTAGTTAATTTAGGTGAAGGTGTAATGAACAGGTGTACTGTACTGTACTTACATTGATTACGTCAACTGTAGAGTCGCCAATCACGTGAGAAACTCATTATATTTCCTGTACCTTATTGTTATGTTGACGTCAGAGGAAAATGGGATAGTTGTTGACGTCATAAAAAATGGGTTTGTGTAGGGACTAGTTGTTGACGTCATAGAAAATGGGATAGTTGTTGACGTCATAGAAAATGGGATAGTTGTTGACGTCATAGAAAATGGGTTTGTGTAGGGACTAGTTGTTGATAATAATGAAAGAAAGACACAGAGAGAGAGAGAGAGAGAGAGAGAGAGAGAGAGAGAGAGAGAGAGAGAGAGAGAGATATATGTTAAATCCTCCTCCTCAAAGGGTTAAATCATCTTTCTTAAAGGGTTAAACTCAAAGGGTTAACTCCTAATTTCTTAAACTCTAGATAATATAACACACACATCAGTCAGGGAGATCTTGGAACATAATAATGGAGGAAACTGCAGCGGGCCATACTGGACAGTCCCGTTTACACCCAACCCCTATCACTCATATATCCACCCAACCTGTGTTTGAAGCTGTCCAGCGTATTAGAGTTAATGATGATGTTTGGTAACTTGTTCCACTCATCCACTACTCTATTCCCAAACCAGTGTTTACCTATTTCGCGCCTAAGTCTAAATTTGTCTAATTTAGAACCATTGTTACGAGTTCGCTCCTGGTTGTACAAGGTTTGGCTATACTAAGTGGGAAGCTTTATCGTGTCAACCACTGAGAATGCTGCTTAGGGTTTAGACCATTAGCAGTCAGTCAGCCTTACAGTGTGTTATAGGTCTAAGGGTGTTCAAATACGTTAAGGTGCGTGCATATGCGTCTAGATCTGTCCAAATGTGTCAAGGTGCGTTTATATACGTCTAGGTGTGTTCAAATGAGTCAAAACGCGTTCAGGTGCGCTCATATGCATCTAGTTCTGTCCAAATATGTCAAGGTGTGTTCATATGCGTCTATATGCGTTTAAGTGCGTCTCGATGCGTCTATTTACATTAAGATACATAAACAACGGGCATTCGTTCGTCAGATAACGAGACAAAACACACGAAAAAAAAAACTCGAGTCGTTTTTTTGTTCCTCTTTACCGCATACCTGCCCCGAGCACTACCCTAATTACCTGTCATTATGCCCTCAGGTGAGACACCAGCGAGGAGCTCAAAAAATACCGTGATAACTTTAGCCTGACTTTACAATACCGTGTGTATGTGATCAATGGCGTCATTCTTTGGGGGTTTCACCTTGTAATTAGGCTCACGTAGGCGCTGGTCACTTGTTTTGGCCCGTTATACTGTAGGGGCAGTGAAGAAGAAGAAGAAGAAGCTGATGATTAAGAGGAAGATTAAAAAGAAGATTAAAAGGAGGAGGAGATTGAGAAGAAGATTGAAAAGAGGAGGAAGAAAATATATAAGAAGATCAGGGATAAGAAAGAGATAAAGAGAAGAACACAAACTAAAGGAAAATAAAAATCATAGCATATTGAGGACTAACAACAATAACAACAACAACAGCGCAGTAACTCGCAAGAACCAATCACCATCCTACAAGAAGGTCCAGCCGACACACACACACACACACACACCCCAATAATACATCCCTGTCCTCCTGAACGTAATATATTCTCACAGGGTTTGAGATCCATATATTCTCACAGGGACCAGAGTCTACTTATCCTCACAGTGTCCCAGGTTTTTAAAATCCTCACAGGTATCAGGATCCGTATGTTTACACAGGTGCTCAGGGACGTATATTCTCACAGGGTTGAAGCTCTCTACATCAATCCCACGGCCAGGAAACGAAATTAATTGATGAGTTGGCTAAATTTGTTGTTCTTGTCGTTTTTGTTGTTGTCGTTGTTGTTATTTTTGTTGTTTTTATTCAAGAAATTCCCCTAAACTCACTGAATCAAAACAAGATCTAGAAAGGTCAAGGGAAATTATAAATATATAACATTGAAGTGTGAAGAGCCTCGGTACATAGATTTTGACACTATGTAAGGAATTCGCCTTTAAACAGAGTGATTTAGATACTATTAAGAAAATCCTTTTTTGCCGATTTAGAAAGTTATAAGAAAATCCTCTTCCTCATCTTCCTATATTCCTCTTCCTCCTCTTCCTCCTCTTCCTCCTCCTCATCTTGACTATCAATAACCTAACCTGGATTTAGACAGAACAATGAGCACTGTTCCTTAATCTGACTTTATTCCTCATTGATCCGATTTTCCTCAGATCTGACAGATTTACTGGAATAATTTACAAATCCAGTGAAATGTTGTACCTAAATCTGGGGATATTTTTTCTTGTATATGTGAGTTAGAAGAATAACCTACAAATTTGGCTTCATATTTCCGGGTTTTGAAAAAGAGAATAAATAATTTTGGGGGGGTTTTAATTTTTACTTTTTGAAGTTTTAATTATATTCTCTTAGATACTTTTATTTACTTTTTATTTATTATTATTATCTTTCTGGATACACCCCCCCCATGTACCCTCGGACCCCCCATGTACCCTCGTCTCCCCATGTACCCTCGCCCCCCATGTACCCTCCCCCATGCACCGCCCCCATGTACCCTCGCCCCCCCCCTCGCCCCCCCATGTACCCTCGCCCCCATGTACCCTCGGTCTCCCCATGTACCCTGGCCCCCATGTACCCTGGCCCCCCATGTACCCTCGCCCCCCCCGTGTGTATAAATATATGTACTGACACTTCATTGACTCGATCTCATATGTTTACAAACCTGATCTGACTTTTAACACATCTGACTTAACTATCCACACACCTGATCTAACTATCCACACACCTGACCTAACTATCCACACACCTGACCTAACTATCCACACACCTGACTTAACTATCCACACATCTGACCTAACTATCCACACACCTGACTTAACTATCCACACACCCGACTTTAACTGTCCACACACCCGACTTTAACTAGCCACACACCTGACTTAACTATCCACACACTTGACTTAAACTATCCACATATATGACTTAACATCTGACCTGTAGTGTTAAAAAAATGAAGATCTAGAAATTCGGAAGAAAAAAAATTATTAAAAACAGTAAATATGCGAAAAATAATAAACGAATCATAACTAAGAAAAACGATGAATAAAAAGAGAGACAAAAATAACGAAAAAAAACGAAAATCCTTATCCTAAGAGTTAATCCTATCCTTTAACTATATAATCCTATCGTATTTTTTGACGGTCTTTCAGTGTTATTAACATGAATTGCTCACCCGTTCATTAATCCTTGTATTAATCCAGTTATCCGGTTCTCTGTGTCTTTTTATTGATGTAATCCTTCTGGGGATTACAAGAGATTTAGGATGATTATAAATGAAATCCTTGCCCTTGACTACAGGTTTATGGGACTCGAGTAATCCTTATCCGACACTAGGATTACAGGTCGAGTCTGGCTGTTGAAGTTTGAAGCGCTTTCCAAAAATCCTAGTGGGTATAATCGCTAAATCCTACAGGTCAAGTGTGATCCTATATAACCTCCAAAATCCTATAGTGGTGGAGGATATTTGAAGGATACTTGCCAAATCCTACAGGTGGAGGAGGATTCTGTTTAACCTCGAGCCTAATGAAAGGATACTCGCTAAATCCTACAGGTCTAAATCCTACAAAATCTAAAGATGTCGAGTTTGATTTCCGGTCGATAAAAATCCTACAGGTCACATTACTACAAAACTACAAAATTTTGAAGATTAGACGTAAATAAAATAATACTGTAATCCTAGACTTAGTCAATCCTAGTTGAGATATCCTTCGTCATTCATTATAGCGGACATCCCCTTGCAAAGAATCCTTAGAAGTTGAGTCTTAAGTATTTACCTCATTTAATCCTACAGCCCACGAAGATAAAGTAGGATTGCAGGACTCGGTAAATCCTAAAGGGCGTTACAATCACAAGATCCCTCCACACCCTTTCCTAATATCCTTGGAGGTTAATCCTGAAATGTGGAGCCAAACTCCTGGAGTGATGGTTTTCTTCTCACACCCCCTGCCACCTTCCTCCTTCATCACCCCCTCCTCACTATAACCCCCCTACCCCCTCCTCTTCCCCATCACCCCTCCTCACCATAACCCTCCCCTCCTCTTCCCCCATCACCCTCTGAAAGATCCTGGGCGAGCTAACGTGTAACCCGGAGTTAGTCATCATTATGTTCCCCTTATCCTTAAAGACTTCCTCTGTTAATTCCGAGTTGTGTTGCGGTCTTGGCAGGGGCTGTACTTTTGGTCTGACTGTAATATAGGTTCTGTGACTCGGGTGTTCAGAGGTAGAGCTTTCGACTTATAAGCTGGAGATCCCGGGTTCGATTGGTAGGTTCTGTGACTCGGGTGTTCAGAGGTAGAGCTTTCGACTTATGAGCTAGAGGTCCCGGGTTCGATTGGTAGGTTCTGTGACTCGGTTGTTCAGAGGTAGAGCTTTCGACTTATGTGCTAGAGGTCCAGGGTTCGATTGGTAGGTTCTGTGACTCGGGTGTTCAGAGGTAGAGCTTTCGACTTATGAGCTAGAGGTCCAGGGTTCGATTGGTAGGTTCTAGGACTCGGGTGTTCAGAGGTACAGCTTGACTTATGAGCTAGGAGGTCCTGGGTTCGATTGGTAGGTTCTGGTGACTCGGGTGTTCAGAGGTAGAGCTTTCGACTTATGAGCTAGAGGTCCCGGGTTCGATTGGTAGGTTCTGTGACTCGGTTGTTCAGAGGTAGAGCTTTCGACTTATGTGCTAGAGGTCCAGGGTTCGATTGGTAGGTTCTGTGACTCGGGTGTTCAGAGGTAGAGCTTTCGACTTATGAGCTAGAGGTCCAGGGTTCGATTGGTAGGTTCTGTGACTCGGGTGTTCAGAGGTAGAGCTTTCGACTTATGAGCTAGAGGTTGATTATATTAATATGTTTATCATCATAAATATTTCAATACTGTTTATTTATGGTAAGATAACGAATAAACTTTAAAAGAAAATTGGATTAAATTTTTAGCCAACACCGCCGCCTCTCTCTCTGTAAGTCTATGGGAACTAAACATAACATTTCACTACACCTGATTAAAAAAACTCGTGTTTATGTGTAGTCCTAAACTTTTCATTTATTTATTTTTATTTTTTACTTTTGATGAATGTTTGAATGTATCTCTTGTAGGAGTCATAATGTGTATATTTTGTAATGTTGTTGTGAAGTACAGTATTGTCTACAGGTTACAGAGAGATAATGGACTACAGTTGTGTTACAAAATAATGGCTTTGAATACAGTATTACATTTAGGTTAATTTTAATGCCATGAAGGTTAAAAATTATAAAAACATGAACGATGGAAAAATAAACATTCATAACAGCTTTTCCAATAATTTACTGTCTTAAGAGCCGACTATAACCCCCCCTCCCTCCCTCTCCATAAACATTATAGTGATCAGACAGACATATTGGTGTTTTTTATACCAGTGTTAACTATTTAAATCCTAACAATTATATTCAAGAAGTAATTATGTGTATTAAGATTCACATCAAGTATTTACCTCGACAAAGAAAATTACTTACCATCTGAATATATATTTTTTTCCCTGGTTCAAAAGTATTTTCCTCACGCTAGGTTAGTTTATTCTGATTGTGTGATATCGTTATGCAATTTTCTTTATCTCTTCTCGTAAAAAGTGTATATTTTAAAGACAGAATATCATCCCTTGTATATATTCACCCTGGTCCTGACACAGAATTTTTTTGGTGTTGTCCCTTTTGTCTTAGTTCATATTTCATAAGTAATGTTATATTTCTCCATATTTATCTCATGCTGTCATAATCTCCTCTGATCAAAGTCAAGAATCAAATGAATCATCACCCGTGTGTCTAATAAACCACTAGGTAAAATATTGTATCCATAAACTCACCTGTTCAGCGTAATAGATCAGGTAATCCTCCTCACCTTTTTGATTAACTTTAACCAGATCAAATAAATTGTTCGCAGGTATACTTACGCTATCCTTGACGAGCCTAAGGTCCTGTTTTGCGTGCATCAGTACTGTCTTGATGAGGGCCACTGCTGCTCCGGTGCTCCGATTAGCGACCAGGTGAGCCGCCGTCTGTTCCCGAGGCTATAACAGGTAAGATGAGGGTTATTATGTGAGTGGTGGCCGCTGTGTCTAGGTGGGCTAGGAGGCGGGTTATCGGGCTTACTTTTGTGATTGTCTGATCTCATTGTGTCTCTGGTAGGAAAGACAATACGGCTTATTTTATCTTGCGAATTTATTCCTTATTGCAATTTGTATTATTATTATTATTATTATTATTGTTATTATTATTATTATTATTATTATTATTATTATTATTATTATTATTATTATTATTATTATTATTATTATTACATTCTGACTAATATTTAGGTTAGGTTAGGTTAGGAAACGCAGGTTAAGTATAATTTATGTTCAATGTTTCTTTACTATTTGACGGTATCTAAGTTAAAAGTTTTTTCTTCATATTTTTAGATTTATTTCATTATTACTTCATCCGATAGACTAATTTACATAGAATCTAGAATCTTTTTTTATTCATTTCAAGGAATTTACCAGAGAACTTATTTTTTATTTTGAATTTCCGGATAAGATTCATAGGTTATGGTGTTAAGAGACGTGAATAGGAGATTAAATTGTATTCTTAAAGTTTGAGAGGAATTTCGCTATTGATTGGGTACAGAGAAGGATTTAATTTGTAGAAGCCAAAAAAATATATTAGTTATCCGCTACAAATCCAAGAAAAGGGATCTTGTCTTAGTACTGGATAAGAGAATTCACACATTTCTTTTTCTTTTCATTTTATTTTATTTGTTTATATAGAATAGAATAAACTGTTTAGATTAAGAGGATAGAAAAATAAGCCCCATTAGCTTCTGTATCCCAAGTTTATTCTTAGGAACATTAAAAAAAATAAAGTAAATTTTAGCGCGAAAATTTAAGCAGCTTTGAGAAGTGGCGGGAAAAGGCGAGGCTATATTTACACACAAGAAAATACGATAAAATATATGAAAATAAATCAGAACTTATCGGAAAATTACCTTTTTTTTACTCAATTTTAAAAGATATTGAATGGTGAAAAAAAATCATTGAATTAGTGAAAACGAAAATGGAGTCAAAGGAACAGTTACTTGAGGCTCCGTAGAGTTAACAAAGGAACATTAAGGAGCCTCAAGGAACATTAAGGAGCTTTCAACCTTCATATTGATCTATTTGGAGGTTATTAAAGGAGGGGGGGGGGGAAATTAGGGAGGTGGGGATGTTAAAGAAGTATTTGTTGAAGGCTTGGAGGAGTTTGGAGGTGCTTGGTGGATTTTAGAGGATAGTGGAGGTTCTTGGAGGTGCTTGGAAGAATTTAGAGGTGCTAGAAGGAGTTTGGACGTACTTCGAGGAGTTAAGAGGTACCTGAAAGAGTTTGGAGGTACTTGAAGTAGCTTAGTGGTACTTGGAGTAGTTTAGAGGTACTTGGAGGATTTAGAAAATAATTGGAGGTCCATGAGCTAACCATTTCCAGGACCCAATTGGAGGCTTGAGAGGTATTTGAAGGAGCCTCCAAACACCTCCCAGAGACCATTTTGAACTTTGGAGGTGTAGACGGCGGAAGGAAATGCCGTAAGGGGGGAGGAGAAAGAGGTGCAGGGGGAGGAGGAGGAGGTGCAGGGGGAGGAGGAGGCAGGTGAGGGACTACACAACAGCTGACAGAATGTAAACAAAATAGACCACGTGGTGTAGGTAAACAAAAGCACACCACACAAGCTTAATAAGTGAAGTCGGCGGTGCAGGTATACAAATATTAGCCAGGTGGGTGATGTAAGCTTTAGCCAGGTGGGTGATGTAAGCTTTAGCCAGGTGGGTGATGTTAAGGTTTAAGCGTGGATGATGTAAGGCTTAGTGAGGTGGATGATGTAAGTTTTAGCGTAGCAGCTGAAGTAAGCTTAAGCGTGATGGCTAGTATACATAAGTGTAGTTTCAAGCTTTTAGTGAATGAGATCTTTGCGTTTGTGTGTGTGTGTGTGTGTGTGTGTGTGTGTGTGTGTGTGTGTGTGTGTGTGTGTGTGTGTGTGTGTGTGTGTTTGGTGTCTGTGTGTGTGTGTGTGTGTGTGTGTGTGTGTGTGTGTGTTTGTTTGTGTGTGTGTCTGTGTGTGTGTGTGTGTGTGTGTGATAATGCTGTTATTATTGAGTCTATCTCTTGTAGCAGATTTACACAGTTTTTTTAACCACAGGGACTTATCCATTCCCCAGGTACAGTAAAACCTTCATTTAACGGACATCACAATAATGAGTATAATCCGTTATATAAAGGTTTTATATCTAATGGACAACGATATAATGGACTGTACTGATCTCTATATAGTCTGTTATATCGAGGTTTCATATCTAACAAATACAGGTATATAATTTTAATGACTAACACCTGGAATGTTTGACCAGGTGTACGTACAGGTGCTGAGACACTTACAACACCTGTGTAAAAATCCTGCAAGCATTATATTACAAATTATTTAATTAAGTTTCATTCCAAATGAGATTTATCATCAATAAAGTAAACTAGAGTCAAAACCAGAACTTAGATGTGAATTTTTATTTATTATTAATTCATCGTTACTTGAGTAGGATATAGTAAACTGACCCAGGTTATGTTAGTTCATATTTAGGTACACAAAAGACATCAACATTATCATTCTGGGTTTGTGTTCCTGATTAACCTTTACAGATTATCTCGCTAACAGCACAGCTACACTAATTACAGTACACAAGCGCATCGGAGTAATCCATAACTACAAGAGGAGTTATGCGTGGTACTGTCTGATGATGGGGAAGGTGTGACTCAATAGTGCTTAGGCTGACATCCAACTACGCTACTTGTATGTGATGTATTAATTCAACTGCGTGATATAGATTCTTCAGGTATGTAAAGAATATATTAATTATATATTACAGGGTTTACGAACAACAACTTTGCATAAGCTTTTAAGAGAGTTACAGTAGTAGGGAAGCAGAAATAATATTAGGTCATGCAGTTCATGTATATAATAGGTCTTGGGGTTAGGTCTAACACACCTACGCTACACTAAGAGGCATTGAGACCAAAAATGTGGCCAATATTGTTCTATCTATCTACTCGGCCCGCATCAGTGCCGGACCCCTACATACAGCCAAAAATATTTTCCTGAAATTCAGGTTAAAAAATGTACAAAAACACATAAAAAATTCGGCAGATTTCTACGCCAGCTCCCTGCAAAATCTGGAGTGGTTAAAAAGAGCGATGCGTCAAAATTGCTTCCATCAGCTAGACACAACAAATAAAAAAATATTCATACGCAAGTTTAAGAAAGTTTTGCTTAACGCATAGAAAAAATATATGCGTCGTACTAAAATATTGAAATACCATAAAAATATATAGTATTAGGCAACCGATTTCTACTGAGCGAACTACATTACTACCATGTAAAATTCACTAAAAAATATCGAATATAAAATTAGCAGTAGTAAAAAATATGTTACATTACGCTTGTGGTTTATACACAGCGTCCTTCAGCTTTGTGGGGTTTAGCAGACGTGGCGCTGCCTCTGTGTCCGTGGCCTGGGAGGGGGTTCACAAACAGGGCTATCACAAGCAAGGGTGACAAACTTTATGTCCTGGAAGGTGATTGTTTGTGGCGTATATGTATGTGTGTTAGTGAAAGGAACAGGTGAACCATTACAGGTGAGATAATAGGGAGAAAAACGCACACACACATACACACAGATACACACACCCACACACACAAAAGAATTAATAGAGGAAAACGTCTAGAAGAGATTCAAGTAGTGATATATATATATACGTCGCCGAGAGTGGTGTTAGATGCACGCTTGTCATCGTTACTGATGTTGGAGGACCGTTTGTCGAGCGGCGCCTTGCCCATGAACCTCCGTGCCGTTTGCGCCCGTTCACAAACCATATGGATAGTTGTTTGTTGGTGTGGCTGCAAAGAAGGCTTCATGACACACTACAGACGCTTGGAGAGCTTACACAATAACTTTATACTGTACATAAGTGACAGACAAGCTTCACGAGAGATGAAGAATAAAATAAAAACACTGATATATACAGTTTATATAATCAATTATATATACTGTATATAAAAGTAGAAATTCTTACAGTAGCTTCGTATAAGAGTTAACAAAAAAATTCATGAAGGCTTAAGATGAGAAACACGAGACAGTTATAGAAACAAGATGAGACACATAAGAGAGACAGTTATAGAAACAAGATGAGACACATAAGAGAGACAGTTATAGAAACAAGATGAGACACATAAGAGAGACAGTTATAGAAACAAGATGAGACACATAAGAGAGACAGCAGTAGTAGAAACAAGAGGAGACACATAGAGACAGTTATAGAAACAAGATGAGACACATAAGAGAGAAGTTAGAAACAAGATGAGACACATAAGAGAGACAGTTATAGAAACAAGATGAGACACACAAGAGAGACAGTTATAGAAACAAGATGAGACACAGAAGAGAGACAGTTGTAAGATGAGAGAGACAGTTATAGAAAACAAGATGAGACACATAAGAGAGACAGTTATAGAAACAAGATGAGACACAAGAGAGACAGTTATAGAAACAAGATGAGACACATAAGAGACAGAAGAGAAACAAGATGAGACATAAGAGAGATAGAAAGAGAAACAAGATGAGACACATAAGAGAGACAGAGTAGAAACAAGATGAGACACATAAGAGAGACAGTTATAGAAACAAGATGAGACACATAAGAGAGACAGTTATAGAAACAAGATGAGACACATAAGAGAGACAGTTATAGAAACAAGATGAGACACATAAGAGAGACAGTTATAGAAACAAGATGAGACACATAAGAGAGACAGTTATAGAAACAAGATGAGACACATAAGAGAGACAGTTATAGAAACAAGATGAGACACATAAGAGAGACGGTTATAGAAACAAGATGAGACACATAAGAGAGACAGTTACAGAAACAAGATGAGACACATAAGAGAGACAGTTATAGAAACAAGATGAGACACATAAGAGAGACAGTTATAGAAACAAGATGAGACACATAAGAGAGACAGTTATAGAAACAAGATGAGACACATAAGAAAGACAGTTATAGAAACAAGATGAGACACATAAGAGAGACAGTTATAGAAACAAGATGAGACACATAAGAGAGACAGTTATAGAAACAAGAGAGACATTTATAGAAACAAGATGAGACACAAAAGAGAGACAGTTATAGAAACAAGATGAGACACATAAGAGAGACAGTTATAGAAACAAGATGAGACACATAAGAGAGACAGTTATAGAAACAAGATGAGACACATAAGAGAGACAGTTATAGAAACAAGATGAGAGACATAAGAGAGACAGTTATAGAAACAAGATGAGACACATAAGAGAGACAGTTATAGAAACAAGATGAGACACATAAGAGAGACAGTTATAGAAACAAGATGAGAGACATAAGAGAGACAGTTATAGAAACAAGATGAGACACATAAGAGAGACAGTTATAGAAACAAGATGAGACACATAAGAGAGACAGTTATAGAAACAAGATGAGACACATAAGAGAGACAGTTATAGAAACAAGATGAGACACATAAGAGAGACAGTTATAGAAACAAGATGAGAGACATAAGAGAGACAGTTATAGAAACAAGATGAGACACATAAGAGAGACAGTCTCATGGTAGTTTTATGATCATGTTGAGTGAGAAACTTATTGGATGTCCTGATGATGATTCACACAGGGGGGGGGTGAGGAGATGAACACACAAGCAAACGCCCGCATTAAATTGAGACATCACACTTGAACAAAAATAAACATCAACATTATATTACCAAAACTGAGAAGCATTTATCATCATTTTTTTGTTTTACTGTTTAAAGGAACAATTCTACCAAGCTACAATATGGACCAATCACTTTAATTATGACCTTAATTAACATCAACAGGTAGAGAAGAGAGGAGAAAAACCAGGTGTTATTAGTATTGAGTTTTGAACCAATATTGACCAAAAACCCGTCTGATGTAACTAATATTTCAACATACTTTGACAATATCTCTCAAATATGTCTCTTGTCTTCTCTCTCTCTCTTCTCTCGGGTATTTTATCATCCAAGGACATTATTTTGGTTTTAGTGTTAAGGATATGATTCATTTAGAAGGTGGTGTTGACTCGGCTTGTCTCTGGAGGTGTTTGGTGGGAAGGAAGGAAGGGAGAGAAACACCTCATTATATAAATATGAATTAATATATCATGCTTTAAATACTTAGATTCTTCAGTAAGTAAATAAATAAACTATAAAAAAAGATTTAAACATAGAAATATTATTTTTATTTGTTCGATTTTCACGTTTAAATGTGTGTGTGTGTGTGTGTGTGTGTGTGTGTGTGTGTGTGTGTGTGTGTGTGTGTGTGTGTGTGTGTGTGTGTGTGTGAGTGTGTGTGTGTGTGTGTACACCACTACACCACTACAGCTACACCACTACAGCTACACCACTACAGCTACACCACTACACCTACACACCTACAGCTACACCACTACACCTACACACCTACTTCCCACCTCCGCCACACCCTTCAACCACACCTCTGCCACACCCCCAACCACACCTCCCCAGCACACTCCCGCTAATTATTCTAAGACAACCAATCAAGGTAGTCAGGTATTGAAGGAACACCTGAGTAATTAGTATATTGCAGGTAACCGGTATACCTGTAACTGGCAATTACTCTTTTGTTGTTGTTAGGCTTCGTGCTGTCATCGTGAATATTGTTGTTGTTGTTGTAGTTGTTGATGTTGTTGTTGTTGTTGTTGTTGTTGTTGTTGTTGTTGTTGTTGTTGTTATCATTTACATCAATGTTATAATTATTTTACTCTTTTTTTTCCTTCCTTTAACAAGATTTATTTATATATTCACTTATACTAATCCTCTTGTGTCTCTATATCTCCTATTTATCATATTATTTTCTGTCTATCAACTTGTTAATTGATATTTTTACCCCCCCTACTCACCCCCCCTCCCTACCTCCCCACACTACACCTCCCCCCCCCCACCCCCCCACACACCACACCCCCACCTCCCCCCCCCACACTACACCTCCCCACCTCCCCCCACACCACACCTCCCCACCTCCCCCCCCCCACACCACACCCTCCCTACCTCCCCCCACACTACACCTCCCCACCTCCCCCACACCACACCTCCTGCCCTTCCCTACCTCCCCCACACTACACCTCCCCTACCCCCCCCACACTACACCTCCCCCACTACCAGAGAAACAGTCTTCCGTGTTGTCTTAGATGGGATTCAGGCCGCTTGTATCTGGTGTTGATTCCCGTTAGACAATAGGTTTCAATTCTATCAAAAAAGGTTTAGTGATCCATGACACACGCACACACACACGCACACGCACACACACACACACACACACACACACACACACACACACACACACACACATGAGATTGTTGTCTATAGTGAATCATTGTTTACTTTTTTTCTTCTTTCTGATTGGATGGTTGATGTTATTAATCCCACGTGTGTGATTGGCTGATCTCTCTTTAATTATGTAAATACAAGAGGTTAAAATCATCCTCACTTAAATATTGTAAAAATATCCCAAGATTCAGACATTTATCCCAAGATTCATTTATCCCAAGACATTTATCCCAAGATTCATTTATCCCAAGACATTTATCCCAAGATTCAGACATTTATCCCAAGATTCAGACATTTATCCCAAGATTCAGACATTTATCCCAAGATTTAGACATTTATCCCAAGATTTAGACATTTATCCCAAGATTTAGACATTTATCCCAAGATTCAGACATTTATCCCAAGATTTAGACATTTATCCCAAGATTTAGACATTTATCCCAAGATTTAGACATTTATCCCAAGATTTAGACATTTATCCCAAGATTCAGACATTTATCCCAAGATTTAGACATTTATCCCAAGATTCAGACGTTTATCCCAAGATTCAGACATTTATCCCAAGATTTAGACATTCATCCCAAGATTTAGACATTTATCCCAAGATTCAGACATTTATCCCAAGATTCAGACATTTATCCCAAGATTCAGACATTTATCCCAAGGCACAAATATTGGTTCTATCCCAGATCGTAAATTGGATGACAAATGATGATGATGATGATGATGATGATGATGATGATGATGATGATGATGATGACACTTCGACTAATGACACAATTGTTGATAATAATACTAATGACATAATTTTCTCACCTACCCTCCCTCGCTCCCTCCCTCCCTCTCACCCCTCTCACCTCTCACCACCTCCCTCCCACTCCTCCTCTCTACCCCCCACTCGCCCGCTGTCTATCCCTCCCTTCCCCCACTCACCCGTCTACCCTCCCTCTCCCCCACATTGACATTACTTGAGACATTCCAGACAGGTAATGAGCACTTTGTTGTCTCACTTAACCCGTCACTTGAGCGTTCCCTTATGTGTGTGTGTGTGTGTGTGTGTGTGTGTGTGTGTGTGTGTGTGTGTGTGTGTGTGTCCTTCATTGTGCCTCTAAGCCCCTTACGACCCCCATGATTCCAACACCCTTATAAGCTCCCATGATTCTCCTATCCCCCATAAGCTCCCATGATCTCCCCATCCCCCATAAGCACCCCATGATTCTCCCCATCCCCCATAAGCACCCCATGATTCTCCCCACCCCCATAAGCACCCATGATTCTCCCCACCCCCATAAGCACCCCATGATTCTCCCCATCCTATAAGCACCCCATGATTCTTCCAACACCCCCATAAGCACCCCATGATTCTCCCCATCCCCCATAAGCACCCCATGATTCTCCCCACCCCCCATAAGCTCCCCATGATTCTCCAACACCCCCATAAGCTCCCCATGATTCTCCCCATCCTGTTCACCACCAAGACGCTCTATAGAACAGGATCTTTGTGAATAGATATATATAATTTTTTTTAGATTATTTAATTTGGTGAATTTACCTGGAAAAGACTAAACAAATAGACCGATAGACAGATAGACAGATAGACAGATAGATAGATAGATAAATAGACAGTCAGATAGATAATATACAGACAGAAAGAGAGATAGACAGAAAGACAGACTAACTGACAGATAACTTATCATCGTATGTGTTAAATAAATGTTTGGTGTAAATCATAAAAAATAATAATATTTTCTAATTTTTAATAAGATTTTAATTCACTGCTGAAAATATATTTTTTTTTAGTTTGATAATTTTATAAGTTAAATATGTATAATTTTAACCGGGTATTTTAATTATTATTTCTAAACAATCGAACGACATAATGGTGTTGTTAGTCTTTTCATCAAGCTTCTATACATTAATTATTTACTTTAACAGTTATCAAAACAAACAGATCTTTTAATAACTCATTACATAAAAAAGTTTATCATTAACAAAAAACAACAATGAATCTTCTTAATTTTTGTAATTTTTTTTTCAGTATAACAAATTATAGTGGATATATGTGTTGATTTAGTCCCTATAATTCAAGGAAACGATTATACCTAGATCGAGTAAAGGGGCTGTTGTTGTTGTTGTTGTTAGTATGACAAATGACACGTAATATTACCTTAAAATGTCACGTATGTCCATTTGTCTGATAGTTTCCCAATGACTTAGCGAGAACCATTTAGCATAACCATTAGTGGGTGGAAGGGGAGGAGGGGAATGTGGAAGTCGTTTGGTAATATTATGATCATGAACGGGTACAGTGGACAACAATGAATACTTAGCTTAATGTATCGTCGGGATTGGAATGTGTGGGTGGGTGGGTGGGTGGGGGGGCAGTGTGGGTGGTTGTGGGAGGGGTAGAGTGTGTGTGGGTGTGGGAAGTAACGACCTTGAGAGAGGGAGAGAGAGAGAGAGAGAGAGGGAGAGAGAGGAAAACTTTCAGTAGGTAGAGGTAAAAGTTCTTGGTCTAATACCTACAAAATTTCGTGGAATTAATCTGTCGAAAACCTTTTAAGTTCGTGTACATTGCGTCTGTTTGTGAGGACTTTGAACACAGAACCTCTTTGGACAAGTTGGCCAGTGTGATACAATTCCCAGTACATCATATATCTAAAACTTTCATGAGTTATTTACTCTGAGGGAAGAATTATACACCTGAAAGAAAAAACAGTAAGGGTTTATAGTAAAAAAAATTCTAAACTTTTTTATAGAATTTTTGTGGATTATAAGAGAGAACATAAGAATTTTTTGTTTTAATTCATATTGTTTTTATTGTTGAGTCTTAATAACCTGTAGTTTACATGACCAGGTAGACAGAGAAGGTGTTGCTTATATCAACGCTCACTCTTATTACCTGTAAAGCAAGATAATTAGTGTATAATTCATTGTTGATTAGGAGAGCCGTCAATGGTCTTCTGTCTGATTATCTGGAAGGCAAGATTATCATACAGTCATTGGACAGACAAGCAGTTCACCTGAAGGATTATGGTAATACGGTACAGGTAACCATGCACCTGTAGGGTACATAATTACGATGCCTTTATTCTCTATTTCTCCTGACATAATTACCATGCAAGTTCCATACTGACTGGCTAATCACATTGTTAATTGACCAGCTAATCATTAACCTGTTTTCCCTGCGCTTAGCTAATCATTAACCTGTTTCCCCTGCGCTTAGCTAATCATTAACCTGTTTCCCCTGCGCTTAGCTAATCATTAACCTGTTTCCCCTGCGCTTAGCTAATCATTAACCTGTTTCCCCTGCGCTTAGCTAATCATTAACCTGTTTCCCCTGCGCTTAGCTAATCATTAACCTGTTTCCCCTGCGCTTAGCTAATCATTAACCTGTTTCCCCTGCGCTTAGCTAATCATTAACCTGTTTCCCCTGCGCTTAGCTAATCCTTCAACCCCTTCTGAATGGCTGATCATATTTCCAAGCGGTCATCTGATTAATCTACTCACTGGTCAACTAACTCTTCTCTTACCTACTCTTCCTTCTTCCTCCTTAGCTAATTCCCCTCTCTTCCCTACCCAACAAATCACACTCCCCTCTTGGCTAGCTCATCGTTAACTCTCCCCCTCCCTTTCCTTCCCCTCCTACACAACAGACCGTGACAACACCTCCCTCCCTCCCCCCACCTAACTAATCCCCTTCACCTTCCCCCCCCCCACCTCTGACCAGCTAATTCTACTAATCACACCCCTTCCCACACTGAGTCGATGAACCAGGGGACGGAGTGGGGAGGGGCGGTGAGTGAGGCGGGGTAACCATACAAGACGCCCCACCACGTTATAACCAGTACCTACCCCTCCTGTAGCATTGATATCTGCCTTCTTCTGTACCAGGTGCCGGATCGTCTCCTCCCTGCTGTAGAGTGACGCCAGGTGAACCGCTGCATACCCCTCCTGATGAAGTAAACAGAGACATGTGAGTGTTAGTTTTGTTTGGTTTTACCCGTAGACAAGTGTTGGTGAAAGAAGCTATGGTTTTAATTTTTTTCACTGCAAGGGATAGAATTTTTTCACTGTTAGAATGACTTAAAATAGAGATTGACTTTCACTGTTAGAATGACTGAAAATACAGATTGACTTTTACTGTTAGAATGACTTAAAACAGAGATTGACTTACACTGTTAGAATGACTTAAAAATACAGATTGACTTACATTAGAATGACTAAGAACAAACATGGGTTTTTGTTATCACTGAATCGATGACAGAAGAAGAAGAAGAAGAAGAAGAAGAAGAAGAAGAAGAAGAAGAAGAAGAAGAAACGACCTTTAAGTTTTTCTCAATTGAGGCGAAGGAGAAGAGAAGAAAAAAATAGATGCTTAAGATATCTTGATAGACTACACTGTTCGGTTAGGTTAGGTTGGGTTAGGTTGGGTTGGGTTAGGTTAGGTTAGGTTGGGTTAGGTTGGTTGGGTTGGGTTAGGTTGGGTTAGGTGGGTTATGTTGGATGGTTGGGTTAGGTTAGGTTGGGTTAGGTTAGGTTAGGTAGAGAAACTCAAGTGAAGAAAATTTTCTTCGTGTAGCAAGGAAGAAATACTCTATATTATATTTAACTGTACCCAAAAAATTTGCTTGAAAATTTTTTACTGAATGGCATTGAAATAAGAAAAATTTTATGTTAATGTCCCAAAGTAAACAAAGAATTCGTGTAACCAATCAGAGAGCCAGTCACTATACAGTCACTATCCAGTCGCATGTAATAAGACTTTTTACCTTCCATCATTATTTTACATTAAAAGTCATTCATCAAAACTTTCTTCAACACTTGAAACGTTT